TATATCATGTCACTTTTTTTTGCTCAAGAAACTTATGCGCATGGGAGAATAAGTTCGACTATGAAACTTTCTAGCAAGAAACTACTAGTAGACAAGAAGATCCATGAAAACTGATTCTGAGTGTTCAAAATTATCAAAAATCTAATATTTCTTTTTATGTCGCAGCTAAAATTTTAGTAATTATTTACGGCAACGCTGGCGGCGTCTCAGCCGATCGGCTTCCGCGTCTAATTATAATGATATTCTTGAACAATTTTGCATGCTTTGCAAGCATAGATAAGCTTTGATATTCCTTTGTAAACGAATTATATTTCACCTTCATCATTATGATTTCTTTATGTATTATTGAAAATTTGAAAGTTAATGTTAGAGCTTCTATTTACACTTTTATGATTTTTCATTTAATTTGCATATTAAATTTAGAACAAGAGAAAATGCTTCTATGAAAATGATCAAGCAGAATTTTGGTTTCAAATTGATTTATTCGATTCTTAAAAAACGCTTTTCAGTACACTTTCATGATTCATAGATATATTATTGCCACTTCGTCATTTTGCTTGAATATGTAAAAAAAATAGAAAAGAAAAGAAAAAGAACGAAGTCGATATCAGAGTGACATAAGTTATATAAAAATAAAATTAAAAAAGTTTAGGCAAATATAAGGATGGAAATACATTTAATTGATTTCCTTCGGGTTTGGGTGTGGGTGTGTGTTAGCAAAGATATGATCAAGCCATACCCACACCCCACACCCAATCAATGACGTTTGCTGAGATTTGTCGAATTGAGAAGAACGAAACGATTAAAAACAATTCGAGTGAGCTCTGTTGGAAAAAGTCCAAAATAAAATCAAGATTCTTGGTTGTTCTCGTTGAACAATCGGAATTTGTCCACAGTCGAAATTGATGACCTGTAATCGAAACTGAATGTTTATGAATTGTTTTTTCTTTCAAACTAGCACATAGAATCGAACCGATTGTCAACTTGTCGTTCGTTCGTTGGAAAATAGTTTTGTATATCTGTTAATTTTGCGCAGATTTTTGTTTTGACAAATATACGATGTTAGATGGAAAAAAGGATGATGATTTGTGACAGTAGACGCTTTGTTGATGTTGTTTGTCTGTGTGCATGTGTGAAATATAGAAAGCATGATCTCATACTTTATTATTGTACTTTATATTTTTCGAACCAAGCATAATAAATAAAAATTCGATCTGTTAATCAACAGAAAAAAATTGCTTGTTGAATATGAAGAAAGGAGACTAAAGTTTTTTGTGATGATAATATATTTATGAATACTGCGATAACAATATGAAAATATCATTTACCTGTTGTATTTTTTCTTATCTGATAAACTACAACAACGAAAAAAATATAAATAGTTATTTCATACTTGTTATGCCTTCAATCATCTTCTTACAATTTATATAAGAAAAAAAGATTAAAAAATTAATGGTATTTCAAATTTTTCTATACATATTTATAACTTTTATTTTAATCATAATTGCTATTATTTATTTTAAATTGATTCATCCAGAGAAACGTTTGTATGATGAATTTCACGCACAAGGTATCAAAGGTGAACCATTTGTGCCTCTTATTGGACAACTTCCACAAATTCTTCGATACCGTAAAGCGGATATGGGATTGGACTATTTTCAAGAATTGATAAGAAAACATGGAAATATATTTTTGATGGGTTTTGGCCCTTTTACAAGAATTATTGTTAATGAACCTGATTTACTTGCTGATGTATTTAGTCGAACTAACGCCCTAAATTATGATAAACGATCAATTATTAATGATTCTTTAATACCAATTATTGGTCGGCATAATCTATTATTGTCTGAAGGTAGTGAACATGAACGAGCTCGTCGAATGATTAATCCAGCATTTCATCATGTTAATCTTAAATCTATGGTTTCCATCATATCTGGTCAAACCGCTAAAGCTATTGAAGCTCTTTTACTTAAATGCAATTCAAATCAACAAAAACAAGAACCGGTTGATTTACAGATTGAATTTAATACGATTACACTATCTATCATTGTATCCAGTGCCTTTGGATCAGGCATCGAAACAATTATCAATGCAAAAGATGTGATTCGTCGAATATTTAACGAAGTACTTGATGCTATTATGTATCGTACAATAGGTTTGATCAATCAGATACCTGTAATATCACAATTACCTTTTTGGAAAAAGAATATAGTCGATCAGGGAGCTCGAATCATAGGTGAATTAGTCGATCAAATTATTGATGATCGTCGACGGGGTCGATCCTCCAGTTTGTCCAATGGTGCTGATCTTCTTGATTTACTTCTCTCCGCTGTTGATGATGAAGGACAACCATTTACTAATCAAGAAATCAAAGAAGAAGCACTCACATTTGTAGTGGCTGGTAGTGAAACTACTGGGAATCTTATGGTATGGATTTCATATGTTTTAATGACACATAATGATGTCTTACAAGCCTGTCGCGAAGAAGTTGATAGAATTTTACCCAATGGTATAGAGCTTACAAACGAACATCTATCTGAATTAGTAGTATGTGAAGCAGTGATCAATGAAGCACTTCGTCTATATCCACCTGCTGCTCTCTTCGCACGTCACTGTGTTCATGAACATACTATTGGTACAGACCGACAATTACGCATACCTACTGGAGCAACCATCATTATTTATAATTATCTTCTTCATCGTCGAAGTGATCTTTGGCCCCGACCACTTGAGTTCGACTATACTCGTTGGATGCGTGATCCAAAAACTGGTCTTAAACCAAAGTTACCTCATCCATTTGCTTATCTTCCTTTTGCTGCTGGACCACGTAATTGCATTGGACAAAACTTTGCATTATTGGAAGCCAAAATCATGTTAGCTATGTTTGTACAACGATGCAATTTTGAATTAATACCAGGACAAAAGATAGTACCTGATGTTAAAATTACAATGCGTACTAAATATGGTTTATGGGTAAAAATTAGTAAACGTTCAATATCGAGTGTTTCAAAATGATTGCAACATTGCTTATTTTGCAGATATCTCGGTATCATTAAAACATAAAACCTTGAATTTTTTTTTCAAAGATGCGCTGTTGAATTCTCTACAAAATTAGCAATATGCAATCCTATTTAACTGTTCTGCTGATTTTTTATAAGAGTAAAACTGAATGTTTGCGATATGCTTCGCTGTCCCACGGTAGTAAAACATGCGTTGATCTACCATAATCCACTATCTAGCACCATTCTCCTCGAGAATCTTACAAGTAGAAAGAGCGTGAAATTCTGCATCTAGTGAATCTCATCCCGAACAGTTTTTTTTCAGAACATCGCGAAAAGAAAATCAAATACACTTTTCATTGGTCCACTCTCGTCCACTTTGACCTAACTCTGTCCTATTTTGATCGACTCCAACCTCAGCAAGAGTGCTTCCAATGAGATTTTCTGTTCTCAAACTATCATTTTCTCATGCTAATTTGGTTCCCAGTGGATCAGAGCGGATCAAAATATGACCGAGCGGAGTCAAAGGGAACCAATGAAAAGAGTATTACCTTTCTTATCACGCCGTTCTGAATAAAATTGTTCAGGATGGGATTCACTACTAGTCATTTCAAATTAAAATTCTCTGTCAGTGTTGATAAACGCGCTCCGCAATGGACATACATAATCGAATGCGGTTTTTCGGATTCGAAAGCCTAACAAAGAGCTAGTAGAACTGGAAGGATGGGTGTGGGGTGTGGGTGTGGGTGTCAGAGCAGCAAAGGCGAGTATTCACACCCATGCCCACCCACACCCCACACCCCACCCCACACAATAATCTTAAGTATCTTGAATCTTGAAAAATAACAAAACAAAAACTTTCTTTTCATTTCTACGATTTATTCTTTGGTAAAAGTGATGATCCAATCTGCTTTAATTCTTATCCCAACACCTTGACAATAGTAAATACCAGGTTGAAATAGTAAAAATATTTTGAAAAGTTGAGATGTCACTAATTGCCGGTTTGGGTCCGGGTTTGGTCTTACACTTGGACCCAAACCGAAATTTCTTTTTTAAGCCGACGCCCGATCCGACCCGAAAAATTTTACCCGAACCCATGGCCCGGTTCGGTTCGGTTTCGGGTACCCGACCGGGTTGCAGTACTCTATACTACAACGATTCGTCCTACTACCATAGGTGATTGGATGTGGGTGTGTGTAATTGAGTGTGTGAGTGGTTGGATTTCAATGTGTAGAGGATGAGCGTGGGTAATTGAATTGGCATGATTGAATGTGAATGTATAGTTGTGAGTGAAACTAGGCACGTGGCGAGTCTGAGCCTAGACCGAGTAGGTTGAGCTTGGGCTCAGTCAGAGCCTAAACGAGTCTAACTGACCCTGAGGTACTTGTACTCGGTACATGTATAGGTGAAATTGAATGTTTGAGCGGTGTGGGTGTGGGTAGGAGCCGCTCTTTTTTTCACCCACACTTACCCTGAAAAGGTGTTCCGCTTCACTGCTAAGAATTTCTATGTTACACAAAGGTTTCATACTTGCTGTTAACGATTCACTCATTATTCTTGATAGGCAAACTTTCGAAACATGAAAGCATCGTCTTTATTCCTTATCTTATGAAATTACCACTTACATTATGTCAATACTTTCATCTCGATATCGAAAATCACGAAAAGATCTTTAATAGGATAGGACACACGTAGAAAGCTAATCATGTAAAATGTGGACAAAATTCTACACGAAAGAACCATTAAATCAATAAAACTGTGTGCAATGTATACAGGTTAATACACTAAATAGACTTGTGAGTAAGAAAAAATCATCAGTCGATCAGATAAACGGAAGACCGTGATGAACATTCATTTCATTTTACTTAGGAATCATGATCGTAAGTTACTTACCAACGTGCAATAATCAAAATAAAATTTTGCAAAAAAATTTAATAATAATAATTTCCAACTTGGTTGAATGTTGCGTATGTGAGACGCGTCGTTTGTTTATCAAAGGACTCTTTTGTTACTTGTGTAACATAAAAAAGCTTTGCTTATCTTATCTTTCTTTCTACCATGTTTCTTTCTATTACTGTCAACTACGTACTTTCTTGAGAAGCGCTGCTCAATACAACAGAAAAATATTCAATATGAAGAGTAGACCAACAATCATGACAAACAAGGGAAAAAACCATATTTGTAAAAGGGAATACATTTCAAATGAAGTACAAGTATCGATACTCATTTGTGTACGATCGGAAGTGGTTGACATTGTTCAAAAACAGGCAATGGTAAACAATGATAGACTTCCTTCAGTGTCAATTAAAGAGATGAAACTTGAACGAGCATGAATTTTTGATAAATTTTCAGTAAAATGATATGGAAAATGATAATTTTCAATATAGTAAGGTTTCTTTGAATTACATAAACATTTTTAGAAAATCTGACATATTCATCTTGTTTTTCCAATACAAGAAAGAAAACAACTGAAAAAGGGTGTGGGTGGGATGGGTGAAGAGAA